GGCGATTTTCCCTCCACTACAGCCTTGGCATTCTCCTCACAATGCGATGCACAAGACAGTTGCTGGATGAGCCCATTCCTGAGCTGGCCCCCTTAGAATCCTGCCTAAGTCCTCGTTGCGAAGCCCTTCGCACCCTGTACTCTAAACCCTGAGCCCGATTCAAGCCCTATATATTTCGACTCCCTAAACCCCAAACCCCTCTTGAGCATAGCCAAACTCGTAAGGCTTAAAAAAACCCAGTCCGGACAGCTCTTGCGCGCACTGCCCGGCTGCCACGTGCACATATTCATCCCCGTCAGTCCCCTTCGGAGTCATGTGTTTGTCTAATGTAAAGCCCAAACAGGAATCCGAAGACATTGTTGGTATGATGGTTGTAAGTTGGGATTTTCTTCCTTTTACTAAAAGTCCTTCAAAGGGATTCTAGTACCCCCTACTATAATCCTAATGAAGGACTGTTAGAAAAGGGGGAACATAGCCTCAAATCTAGAAACCCTAAACACTAATGACCCTGAACCCTAAGAACCCTAAACCCTCATAAACCTTAAAACCCTAAACCTTAAAACCCTAATAACCCTATACCCTAATGACCCTGAGCCCTAGGCGTATCGTCCCTAGCCTTGATTCTTGAAGGTTCGCCCGGCTCCCAAAGCGGATCGTGCAGTCTCCGAACCAGCTTTCGACGGAGAAGGCGCATTGCCGTAAGCAGATTGCTCCTTGTAGCATGTGAATTGTCGTTTTTATCGTTCACATCTTCAAAGGGTACCGTATATGCCTACATAAAGCAGTGCAGCATAGTAGCAGACGGTAGGATATAATGTAGTATCTAGAACACATCCACTCGATGCTGCAGTGCACCAACTGCAGCAATTTACAACCCCCAAGGCAGCTGATCCTGTCAGTAGGGCTGTCGCTTCCGTGTGTTTGGCTGAGCCCTGAACCCGGCACTCGAGACCAACCTAAACCCTAAACCCTAAACCCTAAACCCTAAACCCTAAACCCTAGACCCTAAACTCGATTGTCGCCAGCTCGAAAACGACGGCGGCGACGAGTACATCTACGGACGAAGCCTTTTCCTTGGCATGGCTTTTGGGGACCAAGTGAACCCTAAAATTGCGGGGTTAGGCTTTGGGGTTTGGGGTTTAGGGTTTTGGGGTCATATACCCGGACCCTATACCATAATTACCATAATTCCCATGAAGGTATATGAACTTTAAACCCTTTTCGGTTTCATGTAGTCTCACAGGTCGCTCTACACCCCCTAGAAAGACTCTATGCACCCCCCTAATGAACCCCGAAGCGTTGCGAACCCCGAGTCCTGAGCCTACGAGCGAATAAGTTTGGACGTTTCGGGCCTGGATTCGAAGCAGCGCAATTGATCAGGCAGAGATTTTCAAGAATGTTGAGCTTCAGGGTTTAGTGTTTCGGGGTGTAAGGTTTAGGGTTTAGGGTTTAGGGTTTAGGGAATAAAGTGCCCTGAGGCCCAAAACTCCATACCAGCTAGGTAGGGCCTTGGGATGCTTCATATTTCCCTGACGGGGTTAAGGAGGATCACGTGAAGCGCTAAACCCTAAAGCGGAGAAGCCCTAAACCCTAAACCCTAAACCCTAAACCCTAAACCCTAAACCCTAAACCCCAAACCCCAAACCCTAAACCCTAAACCCTAAACCCTAAACCCTAAACCCTAAACCCTAAACCCTAAACCCTAAACCCTCACCCCTAAACCCTAAACCCTAAACCCTAAACCCTAAACCCTAAACCCTAAACCCTACCCTAAACCCCAAACCCTCAACCCTAAACCCTAAACCCTAAACCCTAGGGTTTAAGGGCCACCCTGGCCGGCAAGAGCCAGGTATTTGGATTCGGGATCGCTTTGGGATGCCTCCAGACGAGGCCCGCCCCTGCGAGCCCGCAACACGAAGGGTTTAGGGTTTAAGGTTTAGGGTTTAGGGTTTAGGATTTAGGGCTTAAGACAAAACCTTCCAACCTACACCTGAAAGCCTAAAGCCTGCCGGACGACTGGGCTACTCTTTCAAGACCCCTTATGCCCAAACCCCTCAACCCTAAACCCCTAAACCCCTAAACCACCCACTCTAAACCCTAAACCCTAAACCCTAAACCCTAAACCCTAAACCCTAAACCGTAAACCCTAAAACCCTAAACCCTAAAACCCTAAACCCTAAACCCTAAACCCTAAACCCTAAACCCTAAACCCTAAGCCCTAAACCTTAAACCTTAAACCTTAGACTTTAAACCTTCAACCTTCAACCTTAAACCCTAAACCCTAAACCTAAGCCATAAGATGTTTTAGGGATCTTAGGGTCCCAACACCAAGCTTGGGGTTTGGGGTTTAGGGTTTATAACGGGTTTAGGATTTAGGGTTTAGGGTTTAGGATTTAGGGTTCAGGATTTTAGGGTTTAGGACTTAGGGCTTAGGATTTCGGGCTTAGGATTTAGGGGTTTGGGTTCCGGCTTTAGGGCCAAGCCCTATGCTAGCAGAACTGCTGTGGCAGGTGCAGGACATGGAGCACGACCTTGACATCGAGGCGTGCTGCGGGGGACTTGCCCAGAGCCCTGAACCTAAACCCTAAACCCTAAACCCTAAACCCTAAACCCTAAACCCTAAACCCTAAACCCTAAACCCTAAACCCTAAACCCTAAACCCTAAACCCTAAACCCTGAACCCTGAACCCTGAACCCTGAACCCTGAACCCTGAACCCTGAACCCTGCACCCACCCGTCAAATCCTAAACCCTAAACCTTCAACCCCTCAAACCTTAAAACCCTAAACCCTACTTGTGCTCTACACCCCAACGGCCCAAAAAGGGAAGCCACTTCTGCAAAAGGTCTAACTAAGGCTCTCGAAAGGAGACAAGAAGCTCCCTGAGCCTCAGGGGTTCGGGACTTGCAGGCCAGGAGTTGTTTGGTGCGTTTTTTTTGAGGGTTTAGGGTTTAGGGATTAGGGTTTAGGGTTTAGGGTTTATGGTTTAGGGTGTAGGGTTTAGGGTTTAGGGTTTAGGGCGTAGGCGGGCGGCCCAGAAGTTGCGAATGGAGGTTGCCCCCGCATGCTTAGTGCAGCTACGGCCCGATGGTGTAATTAGTGTCGTCTGCCCCTGCGCTCTAAGCCCTGAACCCTGAACTTAAAGTTCTAAACCCTAAACCCTAAACCCTAAACCCTAAACCCTAAACCCTAAACGCCCTACTGATCCTGAATCCCGGCAGATTGGCCCGAGATCCCTAGACTTTGTCATGTCGAAGCAAGATACCCTCAGAAGCCGCGCAGCTTGCCCGCCAAGTCCTAAGAAAACCCTTTAAGTGCCCTCAACCCTGAAACAGGAAGGCATAAGGTTCCCAGACCCTAACTACTAAACCCTCAAAGTCAAACCCTGAAGCACTAAACCCTAAGGCCTCAAGACCCCAACTAGGAAACTACTAAACCCTCAAGTCAACCCTGACGTTCTTGGGACCCTACGTCGTAGACCCTAAACCTTGCAACGCCGGACCCGAAGGTCCTCAGACCCTAGTTGCAGCCTAACCCCTGAAACACTAAACCCGAAGGTTTAAGATCGTACCTCCGAAACCCTAAACTCTAAACCACTAAACCCGAAACCCTAAACCTCAAACCCTATACCCGAAACCCTCGGTATATACCTACCAGGGTCCTCATATTTCCTTTATTTTTACTAAACCCTAAACCCTCAACCCTCAACCCTCAACCCTCAACCCTCAACCCTCAACCCTCAACCCTCAACCCTAAACCCTAAACCCTAAACCCTAAACCCTAAACCCTCTTGCGGTTCCCTGTTTAGGGGTTCCGATTGGGACCCCTTTACTAACTGTGCTCCTTGGTGCAACTTGCTGAGGTGTCTGAGCCCTGCATCTTCCGCGCCAGCACGCACCCAGGTGGCAGATGATCCCCTAAACCCTCTTTTGGGGGCTTAGGGTTTAGGGTTTAGGGTTTCGGGTTTAGGGTTTAGGGCTCCTATACGCTCAAAGTGCCCCATGGTGTCTGAGCATTCAAGACGTGCGTGTCTTGTGGGGTGGATGGTTGGGGATCTTGTCTCTGTGCTTCTTGCATGTTCTTGGAGGGAGTATGCTCTACTTGGCTTTACCACACAAGAAGTGGCTCTTCGGGTGAGCACGGCAACTCCTTTGAATTCCTTGTGGGTGCCTCGGATGGAAGGTGCCTTCTCGACTCGCAGCTCGAGCTAGTAGAGGCTCTGAGTAGTGAACCCTAAACCCTAAACCCTAAACCCTAAACCCTAAACCCTAAACCCTAAACCCTAAACCCTAAACCCTAAACCCTAAACCCTAAACCCTAAACCCTAAACCCTAAACCCTAAACCCTAAACCATGATCAAGCTGTGGAGCTCCATGGCCCTGGCGACCTGGCTGTGCTGGGCAGAGAAGTTTGAAGGACGTGCTTCCTTGTATCAAGAGCCATCCTGCTTGCTACAGCACTCGCAAAGAGCACCCAGAGGTCGGGCAGCAGAACCAGATGCTGGCCTTGATTTAGAAGAAAGACCTCGCTTTTGAATCCCAGACCTTTGTGTAAGCTCGATGGAAATTGTTGTTGTTGTTTTTTTTTGCGGGCTTTTAGAACCATTCCCAGGACTGCTCCAGCGCTGACTGGGCTGAGCAGATGCGCGTTGTCCCTCTGCCAACCCCGAAGACGGCGGCTCCGACGCAATCAGCAGGTGCAGCAGGTGACTTCCACCTTCTTGCCTGGACCTTGCCAGACCTTGCCAGGCCGCCTAGACGAAGTCCTCATTTACACCAGATCGGAGAATGCGGCGTTCGAGTTGGACTCGAACATTACGGACATAGCATCTCAGAACGTGACGCTGTCGTTTGGTTGGGCCAGAACCACAGCTTTGAGCAGCGCAAAAGTGGTCGTAGCTTACGATGCAACATCCTCAACAGGTCCTGCTGCTCACACCTTCAAGCACAACGGGGTCTCCTGGGTGTTCTTGGGACAGCAGCTGTTTCCAGGAACCGATGCCATGTCTCTTGGGGGAAACTTGTTGGTCCTGGCGAACAGCTCAGGCACGTATCAGACATTCCAGATGCAGGGCGCAAGTTGGGCGGCAGTGCCCACTGCCGACCTCGTGATACCCACGGACATTGTCAGCTTTGCTGTCGACGGTCACACCCTGGTGATTGCATCGGTGCCGGCACCCTTTTCCAACACACAAGTGCTGTTGTTTCAATGGACGGGTAGCTCGTGGCTCGGGCCAGTGGCAAACATCTCAAAGCCCACAGCTGCTCCGATCAGTGTCGTCGGCCAAGTCGCTGTGGACGGGAACTATGTCGCCGTCTCTTGGGCTTTGTCTGTCCAACCCTCCCCCCTCCTCGTGATCTACGAAAGCCAGGGCGGCTTGTGGTCTGAGGTCTTTCGGACCGCACTGTACAGTGGCCCGGAATCCCTTGCGGTCTCCAGCTCCGGTAGGGCCGCTTCGGAGTGCGTCGCGAAGTGCGACGGGGTTACCATCTTCGAAGCCAGCCCCAATGGAACTTGGAGCGCGACGCAGACGATCAAGTATCTCGTGGACATAACAGGGGGCTCACTCTCGCGGGCTGCCCTCACGGCTAACTCAGTTGCGGTGGCCGAGACTGCAATCCCAAGCATTGGATCCGAATTCTTCCCCGGTGGTCGGATCTTCGGATGCAACGCGACGTCCACAACGTCCACCGCGTCCACCACGTCCACAACCACAACCACGTCAACGTCGTCGCCTCACCTGCCAGCGCCTTATAGATCCTATCGAAATTGTCCTTGGGTATGTCAGCGCTATGGGCGGCGCCGCCACCGCGGCTTTCGATCTCTTCGGAAGATGTGCAAGCACCGCTGCAGGCAGTAGACTGCCTGACTGGCCCCTGTCTCTGAGAGTACCTTCCGCTGCGCCGCTAGTAGTGCCACAAGTGCCTTGCCGCAAGCGAATATAGACCCCCTCAAAAAGGTAGCATTCCCCGATTATAAGGGCCCCAGTAAGGTACCGCCTAATTTCGGAAACCCCCATATTGTTATACAAGGGTAGTTCTACGGGCCCTGCCACTTCTTTAAAGGGTTCTGAAGTATAGGCCTTTGGGTTTTACAGGGTGTATGAAGGGGCATATAAGAGGTACCCGTTTTAACGGCCCATACTAAGGGACCATGTACCATCAAATTTCGTGAGCCCTTCCCCCCTGGGCCCGAACCTAACCTAAAAACAGGGTCCCCAGATTCGGTCCAAACTTCAGTTTTCAAGGTTCAGCTAAACCCTAAACCCTAAACCCTAAACCCTAAACCCTCGACCCTAAACCCTAGACCCTAAACCCTAAACCCTAAACCCTAAACCCTAAACCCCCTAGAGAGTCTATAGGGCCTACGGGACTTAGTTAACTCTTCTTAACTCTGAAGCCCAGGCACCACTCCGATGGCGTGGAGATCCGCTTGAAGTTTTCCGCCGTAGGCGGCTTTGGGGGGTCTAGGGTTTCGGGTTTTGGGTTTAGGGTCCCTCCCCCCCCCCACAAAAAAAACAAAAAAACAAAAAACAAAAAAGAAAAAAACAAGTTCGGGCTTCGAGTTGTGAGCCCCGGGATCGGAGAATGGGTTCCTTCATAGCCGCGGTCATGGGATTCAAGCCCTCCCCTGCCCCCTTCCCCGCCAGGGTGCAGGGGTTAGGGTTTATTAGGGTGTAGGGTGTAGGGTTTAGGGTTTAGGGTTTTCGGGCTTTAGGGTTTTAGGGTTGAAAACGCGCACACAAAGAGATGGAGTCCTGGAGGGGTTCATTTTGGGAGCCCTTGTCTGTCAGGCACACGAAGGCTGGCCCGTTCAAACTGGGAGTTTCCTTCGGACTTGGGTTGCCCTGGCTTTCCCGTTAGAGGTTCCCAGATACAGTAACCAACCAAACAAGGGTACGGGCGACCAGGTGAAGAGGTATCTTTGGATCCCATGAAGCACAAGGTCAATACTTGAAGCCCCATGATGAGTGTAGCTCCCCTGAATAACGGTACCTTGCCTTGTCTTGGGTAGTCCCCTATAGAATACCACACCCTTGTAAAAAAGGACCTCAACAAAAGGGACCCCAAAGTAGAGAACTGCCCATGTCCTAAGCTCGTCAAAAAGCCCTATAAACCATAGCGGCCCTTGCAAGCCTAAACTCTGTAAAGCCCCTAAAGCCCCATGAGGCTGATTCCCTA